AGGAGGGGAGCCTACCTTTTGGCAGAAGCTGGAGATTTGGCAACAATTACAGCATTTCTATAGTCGGGAATCTGGAGATAAATTAAGATGACAAAAATTACAGATTTGCTTTAATTAAAAGTTAACTCTTTTTAAACAGTGATTGACTAAATAGAGCGTAATAACTGTAACCAGGAAAGGTAGGGGCTCGTCATTGTTATGTGTTGCAGAAAAAAAAAAAAGATTTGACACCGTCATGATGACTTAGTGGTTTTACCTCCTCCTGGATGTACTGCAGCAGGAAGGGGGACGCTCTCAGATTGTCCACAGGGATGTTAAAGAAGCCTTGAATCTCTTTTTGATGGAGGTCCATGGTGATCAGGTGGGTGAGACCTGCACAAACAAGGCATGTTTGAAAGTCGTGATGTTCACAGCTGCAATACTTTGGTTTGCCTTGAACAAAACTGGGGACAATGTGTGAAATGACTTTTTAAACTGGCCTTTTATGAGGATTTGACTGATTCACCTTACAAATCTCAAATGCCCTGGTGATGAAATGTTACACTCTGTAATATTGCAAACTAATGGGAACATTATAGAAAGTTTCTAAATCTTCCAAACTATGGTTTGTACAGTTGTATTTGGCGGTATTGGTTCTGCTCTTAGCTCTCAGCAGTATCAATGCAGCATGGCACAGATTTTGCTGAGAGTGCAGACAATAATTCCCCCCCATGGGGTCATGCAGACCTGAACGTTTACGTAATGATACTGACTTAACGAGCAAACAATTCATCCTAGAGTATAAAATGTGCTGACTGAAGCTGGTGGAGGTTGGGGTGGTGGAAGGAGAATTTCACAGCAGTGTCTAGCAGCAGAGTGGATGTGATGCAGGAGGAGTGAGAGGCAGAATGGTTTAAAAAGAACGCCTTGTTGTCAGAGTGTGATAATGATTGGTTAGCATTTGGGCGGTTCTCAGATCAGCTGATGGCTGCTTGCAGGCAGGACTACTTGTATTCCGCCCTAACTAACTCCATTTATCAGTTTTCTACAAGCCTGACTGAAGGGTAAACATGATAAGGTTTCCAGCCAACACTTTTCCTAGTATTTCAAGTCATGCAACTTTTGTTTTTGACTTCATCATTGAAGGTGAAGAAGTATTTCACTCAGCAGTTTAACTCAAGCCTCACCTGCCAGAGTCAAACATTAAAGTGCTTCATCCAGGAGAGGAGTAAGCTAAGTAAACATTGAAGAACTTCTAGCTCAAAAACAGGCAAAGTAAATAGAAACCAACTAGAGGCAGCCAACCAGCACCTCCTGATGTCTTATGTCTGCAATAAGCGACAGCATTGATTATTTACGTGGTTACTTTAAAAAACTGGATCGCTGCTGGGCTATGTGTCAGACAGCTCACTGCAGAGACAGTCTCTTTTTACATGTCTCTATTAGATGATGATGTAGATTAATTCTTTCACTTTCCATCGAGTTGATTCAATCTTTGTTCAACCAATCGATCCAGATTGATAAAAAGTATGTTTGACCTTCGTTTTGTATGCTCTGCTGTGATTGACAGCTGGCTGTGAAGCCATGGAGAAAACCCACAAGCAGAAGGGAGTCTAGGAGGCAAAGCGAGGTCTTGTGTGGAATTTCGCGACTTGTTGATACAGTGGGGCAGTAGGAGGCGGTCCCACCACCTGCTTTATGCTTCATAGCAACGCTCACCTGCTTTACACATCATGGAGGCGATGAGCTTAGTGACGATGGAGCCCCTCTTCCTCATCTTGCACTGCTTGCTGTAGGGGAAGTAGGGGAGGACGCCTGTGATGCTTCTGGCACAGGATGTCCTGCATGCGTACACCAAGATCAGCATCTCCATAATGGTGGTGTTCACATCTCTGCTCCAGCCACAGGGAAGAGGAGAACAGAGCGAAAAGAAGAGGAGAGAGTATGACATGGCACGTGAGGTGAGTGAGATGTTTCAGAGGAAACTATCAAAATGTATCAGCTGTGTGTGCATGTTCTTTCTTACTTGGACACCGTCTGGATCACAAAGACATCTTTGCCTCGCACCGACTCTTGAACCTGCACCCTCGTTTCTATGGAAACAAACAGGACGTGAGAAGGAAAGAAAAGCTAGAAACACCAGTACACAAAAACACAAACCCATGCGCACACACACACACACACTTCTACTTCGTGACAAAGCCTTGGAGGGCTGTCAATTTCATTAGAAGGCTATCTGAGCCCTTTTTGGTTCTGGCGTGAAAAGCAACCCCTCCCCAACAGACTCCAACTGTGTGAAAGTGTAGATACTAGCATTCCAAACATGTGCCTCCCACGCAAAAGACATTAGAAAACAAAATGCTTCCTATGAAGAGCCAAATGTGCGGCAGAAAGAGAAAGAAAGTCTCATCAAATATATCTTGTTTGGGAGCCTAGAAAGGTTAAATATTCACTGAGTGGAATGTTCATCTTTCTACATCTTGTACTACTAAACCCAACATTACGCTTACTGTAATGCAGACTCATTAAAAGAAAGAGGAAGAACAGTTTGAAATAGAATTTAAATCCATTTTACGTGTATTAAGACTGATTGAGACTTTTCTGGGGTGCAGGTAACCTAGTGGTTAGTGTGCACCCCATGTACAGAGGCTATAGTCCTCCAAGCGGACAGCCCGGGTTCCAATCCGGCCTGTGGCTCCTTTTGTACATCTCATTCCTCCCTCTCTCTCTCCTTATGATTTCTAAATATATCCACTTTCCTATCTCTAAACAAAAAAATGTCAAAAAGGCATGCACATCCGAGAAAGTACTGGATGCTGGACAAAAAACATCCAAAGACAGAAAAATTACTGAGACCAGAGCACACCAGAAGCTGCTCCACTTAAATTGAATTGTAAAAATCACATGTCAGAAGTTGTCTGATGAAGAGCGAGGGCCCGTAACGTTACGTGTGATTTTTCCATTAGATTCAATGTAATTGGAGCAGCTTCTGGTGTGTGGACTCAGTACTTTTTCCAACTCTAAATAAAGACACAAAATTTAACTTAAAAGAACAAAAGACTGATTTTCTATTTTACGCTGGTTGTAATCTCCCAGAATGCAACAACACTGTTGCATCTTCTTGAGACTTGCTTGTAGTCTGTAACCTTAAGTCAAGCACTCTGACCATTTTCAAGGAAGATCCCAAAAGAGAATCCAAGAGGATGTCTTATAACCAGCTGGTCTTATAATAATTAACTCTAATAAATAAATAGTCACGATAAATAACACCTTAAATTAAACACTACGAAATAAAGAGCTTCTGCTGAAATGTCTACAGATGAAATCCAACATACTAAATTGTTATTTTCCAACAGAACAGGACATTTTGCTTTTAAATATAGAACAAATGATGAGCAGTGAGACAAACTACAATTTTTATTTTCCAAACTGACATTTCTGTTTAGGGCCACATTACCTGCCTGTTTCTTATGCTTATGTGAATACTCCTAAAAATGTAACAGTTAAATAATTCCCTGTTGATAATGATCATCAACAGGCTATCTTCCTTTATTCTGACAGAAAGTATAATTCAAATTAAACTGGCGTTCACAAAATAAACCAGTTCTTTCAAAGATACTGTTTGGCAGCTAATTGTTCTTTTGGAACGATGGCACATTTCGCTATATTTCCAAAATATTCAGGAGCAGCGTCAGATGTCTGTTTACATGAACACTTGCTTTCAGAGAGCCTTTAATGTGGGTCAGTGTTATTTAACAGACAAGCATTATTTCTGCATAGGTCTTTGACAACAACAAAAAGTCAGTACTCATAAAGGGGTCTAAAACTGTGCAGAGGAACGCAAAGTCTGCAGACACACTTTGCGTTCCTCTGCTCTGTTCACAAACACTGAACCAGTCCATTTGAATGTGATCATGAAGGCTACAGGGTCGGTGCAGCAGTCTGCATTATACAGAATGTTTCAGACTTCAGTTCAAATCGTTTTCTACCCAACATACAACCTGCACATAGTTTATTTTTTAACTATTAACTTGGTCACAGAACTAGGGGGACAGAATTGCAGTTAGATAAACCTGAACTTTTTAAAGATTTTTTTGGGGGGCTTTTTGTGCCTTTAATGGAGGGATAGGACAGTGGATAGAGCCGGCAATCAGGGAGAGAGAGAGAGTGGGGAATGACATGCGGGAAAGGAGCCACAGGCGGGATTCGAACCTGGGAGGACCATAGCCTCCATACATGGGGCACGCGCCCTAACCACTCTGATTGATGTTATATACGCAGCCACCAGCTGATACATTCATGACAAATTCAAACACTATGAGATTAAACGCAGAAACTTTGAAGCAGAGTTTTAAATATCACTTTAAGAGTACACGTCTCTGTATGAAAGTCTGCAAAAATCGTGCATAAAAATATATTTTGAAAAGACTGAATTGTCTTCATATTTTTTTTTGCGGATCTCCATGAAGCACACATGCACTAATGAAACGCTGTATTCTTTTCACTGAAACTTTTGCTTCACACCATGATGATCATTTTCTATCAACTCGCAGATCACGTGCAGCCAGAACTGTGGGGGGAGATCCGAATGGATCACGGATCAGCTGTAGGTCACTTGGGGTTTTTCTGGTTTTGTTTTTTGTGCTTGAGTGAGACTCGCTTGGTTGCATTGAACACCTCATGAATGAGAATATTTTAAAGGGATAGATTGGGTATTTCCTCAATTGATAAATGTCCCATACAGCCCCAAAAAACTACCCCTTTAAAGAAATAAAGGTCAAGTGAACCAATGAATGAGCAGCACCTTACCTCTGTTAGCTTCCTGGTACACCTGCACCTTGCCAAGCTCCACCCCTAACCGCCTGAGACAGAGAGACAGAGAAGGGGGGGGGGGGGTAGAAAAAGAGTGTTCTAAGGTTCTTGGAGTCAGAAAATTGTTGTTACAAGGAAACAATGCAAGATTCAGTGATGAAGAATTGTTTTACACACACACAGAAATAATGAATCCTTCAATAAAATCAAACACTCACTTTGTTAAGAATATGAGAATACAGAAATGTATTATTTTTTTTTTTTTAAGATTTATTTTTGGGCTTGTGCCTTTAATGCAGAGATAGGACAGTGGATAGAGTCGGAAACCAGGGAGAGAGAGTGGGGAACGACATGCGGGAGGGAGGCCACAGGCGGGATGCGAACCCGGCCGCCCGCTTGAGACGACAGCCTCAATACATGGGGCGCGCGCCCTAACCATTGCGCCACCAGCGCGCCCAGAAATGTATTATTTGTAACATGCATTCTCTTTCCAACACCTTCCCTGCTCACTCTGCAGTCAGCACATTTTCTTCTAGTTAACTGTTAACATGCTGCGCTAAAGCTCCCCTCTCTCCTCTCTCTCACAGCTGGAATGTAATCTCTGATAAGCATAAGCCTGGCTGAATACTCGTATTTGTTTTATAAACATGCAGACTCAAATGTCATTGTGGATGCCCAGAGAACATCGTGTGCATTTCTAGAACGTTTTAATACCCAGGGCATAGAAACTAGAAATGTGTTCATAATAAAGGAAGTTACGAGGGGTAAGTACAGAGATGAACATGCACTGTTTCATACTCTTTTAGCTGCAGGGACACTCTTCTTAATGTGGCAACATTTGGCTGCTCTCGGGTGAAGACACAATTTCACCTCGGAGTGACACTTATATGATGTGATATTTATTTAACAGTTTATGAGATGCTTCGACAAACAAGCAAACTACAAAACATGAGTAGGTAAACATAAGACCCCAAAATGGCCAATCATGGCAGGACAATACACAGGTATACTCAATGTGGAGCTAGAAGCTAGAAAAACTGGGTAAAATGTAATAAAAAAAAAAAAAGTGAAAGAAAATGAATGTCTCATGAGGAAAAAATAGAGCAGTAAAAATAAATGACATATCACTCCTTTGCTTGAAATTATTTTAGCACAGGATGTGTATGTTCTTTATCATACCGTTAATAGACTTTTTTTTTAAACTACAGCTACCTCTGGTTTGTCATTTGAATTATACATTAGACCCAAGCATAGCCAGTGATTCGGATGAAAGCTGTTTCACGTTTCCACTACAGTCAACAGCCTTTAGCAGCCAACTTGTTTTTAAAGAACATATTTGAGTAGTTGTCATCTGCATAACTGTTTCTATGTGTCTGTGTATTTGTGTGTGTGTGTGTGTGTGTAACAAGTTGTCCTGTACTCACTCTGCGATCCTCTTGCCCATCTCGCGGCTGGAGGGGTGAGAGTTTGCGGTGAAGATGACCAGGCCGCCCTTGGTGTGATTCATGTCTCTGGGGTCTCGGCCACAGCTCTCCCCACACTCAGGCAGTGGATCCCTGGGCACCCAGGCTGCGCTGAGCCCTTCCTGTGGTCGTGATGGAGGAGAGGAATTAGTTCTTCCTTAATTAATGTGTTGATTTTTTGTTTTTTTTGTAACTTGAGTAAACACATCGTGACATATCCTCCACCTGACCAGGATTTAGGATCCTTGTTCCTCAAAATGTGAGTTAGTTATTCATGAACTTCCTGCAAACAGCCAGGGGGGGAGTTCGTTTTTTTTTAGAGAGACAACATTGTCATAAGACTCACCACGGCAACTGTATTTTCTCATTTTCATTTTTGTCTGAATCTTTGACAAAGCTAAGAAAAGGGTCTGTGACGGATGAATCATAAACTGCTAAATTGCTTTATCTCCTGAGCACAAAACAAAACCCCATGTACAGAAAGTGCATCAGTAAGGACACATTTATTTAAATTGGATGCTTGATACTGTTTAACAATAAGCTTTAACTGTAGAATCTTACATTTTACAATCAATTACAACTTTGATAATTTAGTATCTATACATAAACTTGACTTCTATCTTTAATCTAGAGGCTACCATACTTATTGTACATTCTGCTCTTTTTTTTCTGAGGCTTTGTGTGCATGTTTTTTGTCTGTCCAGTAGAATAATGCAGTCTATTGCATGCTTAGCCCACATATCTATGTAGTGTATCAACTTTCTGCTTGCACATAATCGTACACTCTTTGAGGTTTGTGGAACAATAACACAGAGCAAACACAAATGCTGTGCTGCAACTAGATGCCATATGCAACCCGAATTCATGCGACTTAAAATAACTAAACGGATCGTTTTTTTATGATAATTGTACTTGCATTTAAATGCTTGTTTAAGTGGCTGGATTTTGCGTTTATCACGAGGTAAATATCGATCATCTTAGTTAACTACCAACACAGTCACGATATTAGCCTCCTCATGTGGCTAAGCTAGCAGGACAACACAGGATTTCGCTGCTCAGCATGCCGTACACTTCTCGCAAATTAAGTTGTTCAGAATACAATAGTTTGTGTGTTGAAGTTGGGGCGTTGTTAAATGTTGCAGTAGAGCAGTTGCACCATGAAAAACAAATGTAAATTCTCATATATTAAGTGTAAGGTTGTAACATCATGAGATTACGCGAGCTAACGTTTACAAACATGTACTAACGCGATAGCTCGCAAAAATAATCTTGACTGCGCGAATTGATTTTATTCATCAGAAAGCTAGTCTTAGTAAGAAACAGAAACAGAAAATAGAAGAACTGCTCTTAGAAGAACTAAAAAAAAAACTAAAAAACATAATAATAATAATACCACTTACCAGCTTGCGTGTTGTGACCGGTTACAATATGCAACCAACAATATTTGAATGTACAAGCCTCCAGTTCCTCTCAACCTGTTCTCCTCACTCCGACTGCTGGCGATGTTCAGTTTTGATGGACTTGCAGGCTCGGCCAATCGCAGACCATGACCTCACCAAGGGGCGTTTACAAGATGCATTCAAGTGCTCTTTTTGAACCTTGGAAATAATGCAGGAAGTTAGGGAAAAATAGTGTATGGACCTATGGTATGGACGTCTGATCAGATGTCATTGCTGTCAAAATACGCCATTTAATCTTGCTTAATATTACACGGGAATTTGTTTGTTTAATCCATTTCCGTTCATCGTAAACTAAACCCTCTGAGCTAAAATTAAATTATTATTTTTTTATTGTGAGAAGGTGAACAAGTACAAAACAAAAATGTGCACACAAACATGACAATTAAAGCGACGGCAAATAAACAAAAACAGGCAAAACAGAAATAAACAAAACAAAATCAAAATACGCAAACATTAGCAAAGACAAATATTAAATATATTAAAGAGCAGTGCTGTCCCACGATAGGCCTATATATTGTGCATTTCCCCCCCTCTTTTCTGTATTACGCTTTACCCTGATGCTATAAACATTAACCAGCCAAAAACCAGGTATAACATCAAGAATCCACTGATTCATATTTCAGCCATTTTTATGGTTAGAATAGTTATACGTGAAAAAAGGCTTTTACTCAGCATTGTTCAGTATCGCAGTAACCTAATCTTTTTAAAAAAAAAAAAACACTAAACACTAAAAGGGACTCTTTCATGTGTATGCTTTGTGACAGGCCACTTGAGGGCAGTGTTTCTCTGATAGCGACAGTACATCCACATTTCCCTCTTCAGTTGCTGTTAGTTTGGATTTTTTTTTGTGTGTTGAATAAAATAGCCTCTATGTCAATGTAGACAGTGTTACTTTAAGCTTGAAATGGAAGGTGGTTGTAAACAAATATTAAAGATATATTTTGTGACAAGGTTAGACCACAAAGTGTGAATGATGTTTTATGAAATTTCAAACTTTCTCCACAGTTACTCCAATCCATTAAATATGTTTGTAAGCAGTTCCTCTCTCTCTCTCACACACACACACACACACACACACACACACACACACATACAGAGATCGAGAGAGGGATAGAGAAGAAATATATTTCAATGAGTGTGATTAATAGAGCTAAGGTGCTCATGAATAAACAGTTTGATCCCTTGGAGGTTTATCAAATCCTGTCTCAAACCAACGCTTTCGGTTCAGCAATACCAGAAAGATCTCACATGGGGACAGGAAGAGCAGTTTGTTTTTGTTGCAGGTAACCTCCTTTAAAATAAATATGAATGTAAACATCCAGCATTCAAGTTAACACACCTCCAAGGTCGAGAGAAGTTGCACGAACAGACAGCTTTATAAATAAGCTTGCAGAACCATATGGGCTACTCTTCAGCGTTCTTACATAACTAACTGGATATGTGGAGGAGGCAGAGAGCAGCATCCAAGCTCTGCACACTGCCCACACATACACATGCACACACACGTGCACACACACACCTCATACATACACACATACACACACACACACACACACACCTCATACACACATATTCACACACACTCACTCACTCACTCTCACACACCTCTCACACAAACACACACGCATCTGCAGTTTTTAAAAAATAGATCTTGAATAGAGTAAGAAGAAAAGTTTGGATGTTGCAGATAGAAGTCAGGGTTAAATTCACTGCTATCCATCTCACTATTCTGTCTAAGATGAAAACTTTAAGTACTCTGATATGTTATTTTTTTCAGCTTTTTGAGTAAAGCTAATGCATATAGCAATCCCAAATAAACATTGTAAATATAAATCAAGTCTTCAAGTTTTCTTTATTGTCATTTCAACCAAATACAAATTCACACAGATATTAAATGGTGTTCCTCTCGCTGCCTGTCATTCCCTCTCTAGAATATTCTAAAAATCTAAAAAATGAGTAGGACCTGATAACTGAAAGAGCTACTTCCACTTTAAGTACCACAACGAGGCCCAGATTATACGATGCCTAAACACTAGTTTTGTAAATGAGAAGAAGAATTTTAAATTACTAAAAGATACTATGGGATCTCTTTTTGTAAATCTCGTCAGTAGCCTACGTGTGTTTCAGCTTTTTGGACAAGCTGAAGAGTCTTAAGGGACTTATTTGGACGTGCCCTGTTATTTGGAAGTTAAAAAAAGCTGTCTTTTAAATGTGTTCTATGTTGAAGTTGAAGGACATCTCCTGATCAAATATTGCTCCCAGATTTCTAATCCTGGTGATAGATGGATGCCAGACTGATGCCATAGGGCAGTTTTATCATAAGAAAAGTGTTTCTGAGGGGTTTCAGGCCAACCACAATGACTTCTGTCTTGTCTTAACTGCATCCACACTATACAGCAGCAGGGTCAACATCGGTGTATTGAAAATGGTCATAGTCTCAGTGACATCACCCATTGGTTACTGAAGGAAACTTTTAAAGCCAAACAATGCTTCTGAATCATCAGTCACGATACCTTTTCTGTTGGTGGAATCCCCCTCAAATTTGATCATCCTAATCCTCAAGCCTTCACCCTGCTTCTTTATGAAACCCATAAGTCTACATCTGATGCTGTTGCCATGCCAATGCATTGTTTGTCATGAAAAATTAGGCTTTTTAAGGGGCTTAATACTAGTACAGTACAGTAACCCAAATTGATAGGATTGAAAACTTTGATTTGAGTTATGTCTGTGGGCCTCACCCTGAAAAACTGACCTGGAACCAGCTAACCAACTATGACAACTGACACAAACTTTATTTGACACCATGATCAGGATGTTGTTGTGACGTAAAACTACTGGGTTCAAACTGAGACAAACTTAAAATGTTTGATGAAGTTGCTTTTTAACAAGAAGAACCCCCCCCAATGTCTGCAGGCTGGAGCCTTCTCTTCTCATGCCCTCTCGTAGCTGACCCATTTGAAAATAACTTGCGATTTCATATTTTTGACCCTATCTACGATTAAAGATATTTTTTTGTAATTTGTTTGTAATACTATTATTTTGCAATTCAAAAAAGTTTTTCTGTTTTTTTTTTCTACCGTATTCTTTGAGGGTACTTACTGTAACTTTCTGATTGAATACAAACCTGCATTTGTTTTGAAAGAAAAAAAGGAACCAAAACGTAAATGAAAACAGCTAAAGAGAACAGTGAAAAATAAAATGTCTATCAAGGTGGATATATCATTTTACTTGTCAACTGAGCTGTCTGGATGTGTGTTCTTTTATTTAAATGAGCCATTTAAAGGTGCAGAAGTGTCTTTCTTTCCATCACTGTGCTTGTCTTACAGTGATAGTTCCCCAACTTACTCTGCCTGGAGCCCTCCAACCCTAACCATACACATCTATACATAAACATGTACACTAATCACACTGTAAGTCACACTCTTAAAAAATCTCTGTTTTCAGAATACTGATCTCAAACAATCAAGATGTTTGTGACAACAAACTGGAAATACTAAAAACTTTTACATCACTGTTTATAGTGAAACATGAAACTTCCAAATTGTTATGATGTAACAACAGTTATTGCTTTTAACTGATATTTTTTTTAAACCTGACTCTCTGAAGATTAAAAACTCCCTACAAAAGTAGGATGTGGGGAAAAAAGGGATTGTGGCTCTCTTCACCACAGGTGAAGCCGAAAGGCGAGATGTGACTCGTCATATTTTCTTGTCTTTGTTTTAGTGGTTATGACATCAGGGTGCATTGGCTTAGCTACGGTGTGCCTAAAGGGACAAAATAACATGCATTTAATCCAAAAAAAGAATACTGAATGCCTTAAGTTCAGACCTTAATCATATTGAGATCAATGCAATAACACTAAAAGCCCTATTTCTAACCAAATCAAATAACTTTTACATAGTTTTTGACCTTTGGGTGTCTGATGATAAAAAAACACGATGGCTATGCCACATCCCGACATGCATCATAAATTGCCACAAGGGCCTGTGTCTACTGTGCTACTCACAGCCCTAGTTTCCTTTTTGCTGTTGGAATCCATGGCTTTCCATGTGCATAATGGACACTGGACAGGCTATGTTCATTTAAGTTACAGAAACATCATTCTTATAACCTCCTATCCTTTGAACATTTTGTGGGTCTTGCTGATGCCTGTCTAGTGTACAAAGTGATCAACAGTCTGGCTCGTCCTCCACTAAAAGAGTTCATATCACTGCAGATAGAGGAAGAACAACAAGGACGACCAACAGAGGGGATTGTGTAATACAGCTCAAATCTTCTGTGTTCGTCCAATCACTTCAGGCTGCTGTGTAGTGGTTATGCATAGTGCTCTTAGCACTATAATTGTTTTAATATCATTTGTGAACTTCACTGAGTATTAATTTAATGCTGTTGTACAGTGGTTATGTTTGAAGATGTTTTCAGTGTATATTTTATTTCTTAAGACATTGTCTCTGACTCCTGCCCAGGGACTATGATGTTAATTAGCGCTTAGCTAATATAGTTAACTATGGCTAACATACACTGTCCCGGTAAATCACCTTCTGAGATAACATGTGCTAAGTAAGCCTACTGCTATGATCACCCTGACATAACTTGAAAAATCATAATGGAATAGAAGTAAATTGAACTTATCAAACTATATTTATATAGCACTTTTCATACAATGATGTAGCACATGATGCTTTACCTCATGAAAAAACATGATCAAATCAAAAACAAATCAACAACCATAACCCATGCACAAGGCAAAAAAAGTCTATGTCATAAATAAAAAGAGATAGGCTACCTGACTGAGGAAACAAAGGATCACCTAAAGTCACAAAAAGTGAAAAAAAAAAAATAAATAAAATCACAATAATTATATTGTGCGCACTATAGATTTGAACTTTTTTGGGGGATTTTGAAGGTTAGAAAACGCTTTCATGAATTCGTAATGAGGAAACACAGGAGCTAAGGTTATAATGTTAAAATTCAAGATGGGAAAACTAGACAAAAATAAAATGGAGGAAATAAAGACGAAAATGAAGCACTGTAATCT